CCTACTATTGATCCCTTTCACCATTGTGGAGGTAGACTTTGTTCTTTAATTTCTGGGTGAGTTTACTTTGGTGGTTGACCTTTGTGCTGGTCATTATGAAGAATTGGTCTAAGTACTTCTTTAGAGTTGGTCTGGTAATGGCAAATTTCCTCAACATACAGATGTCAGTAAGTATTAGATTTCTCCATCACAAATGAAACTCAGTTTAGTGGGATATAGGATCCTGGGCTGAAAATTGTTTTGTTAAAGGTTGTTGACCATATTCTTCTGGCTTGAAAAGTTTCAACTGAAAGAGCCTTATATTTTTCCCTTTATAGGTAATATGTTTTTAACACCTGGCTGCTTGCAGGATTTTCTTCTACATATTAACTTTGGTAAAGTTAATTACAATGTGTCTAGGAGATTCTTTGTTTGAACTGGGGTTGTGCTGGGGTTCTGAAACTATCTACTATCTGAATTTCTTTTCTTACAAACGCTTGGGAAATTCTCCATCATAATGTCTTGGAGTAGGGTATCTGTACCTTTAGGATCACCCTCTTCTCCTTCAGGAATCCCTATAATTTGGATGTTTGAACTTTTGAAATAATCCAATTACTCTCTCAGGGAATATTCTGTTCTTGTTTTCCTTTTCTCTACTTCTTTTAATGGTTGGGATAGTTCAAATGTCTTGTCTTCAGTTTCTGAAATTTGTTCTTTTCCCTGTTCAACTCTATTACTAAGGGTCTCTACTGTGTTTCAAAGCTCCTTGAATGCCTTTTTCAATTCCTTTAGCTCTATATCTTTCTTCATTATGTCCATATCCTTGATGAGTTTGTCTTTTAATTCATTAATTTCTTGAAACAACTTTTGAACTATTTTTTGGATTTCTGTTTCCATCTTTTCCTCCATTCCAATCAACCTATTTGCCATTCATATTCTGAATTCTGTTTCTGACATTTCAGCAATTTCTCTATGAATGATATTTTCTGTTGTATTTCCTTTGTAATCTCTTGTGGGGAGTTGATCTGCTTGATTTCTAATGTTGCCAGATTTTTTCTGTTGATTCCTGCCCATGAGTATTTTTAGCTTTAAAAAAAAAAGTATATATGTGTGTGTGTGTGTGTGTGTGTGTGTGTGTATATATATATATATATTATACTTTTTTAGTTGAAATGATATGTTGTCCCTGAATATTTGTTGGGGCTAATCTAATTGGGGACCTTCAGGAAACACTGTACTGTCCTATTTGGCAGTTGAATCTGGTTGGGTGAGACTGGCCCAGGAGGCCCTAGGAACTGGAGCTAACCACCCTTTTGCCAATGAGCTGGGGCGTGATTGTGTCCTTTCACCTATAGCCTTGCAAGGGTCCCTTTCAGGGCTATAGCCAGAGATTCTGAGTGCTGGCTTAGTGAGATAGACCAACCTGATTCTTTCATTTTTTTCTTTTTTGAAGCAGAGTTTCAAGCTGTCACCCTGGGTAGAGTGCTATGTTGTCATAGCTTATAGTAAGCTCCAACTCTTGGGCTCAGGTGATCCTCTAACCTCAGTTTTTCTATTTTTTTTTTTTTTTTTAGTAGAAACAAATCTTGCTTTTGCTCAGGCTCTGGTATTGAATCCATGTGCTCAAGCAATCTACCCACCTCAGCCTCCCAGAGAGTTAGGATTACAGGTGTGAGCCACCGTGCCAGGCCCTGATTTTTTCTTGATGTCAGCCTGCCCTCTACCCAATCTTAAGGGGTAGGAGTATTTCTCTGTAATCTGTGCTGGGCACAGATATAAACATCTGCAGCCTCCCTACCTGCTGACAGCTGCAGTAGGGGAATCTGCAGACAGACCCACTGAATCTCCCACTCACTGATTTAGTGCTACTGGTGCTTCATTTCAGAGGGTCACCCAATGGACACCTCTAGCTGCGAGTTCCAGAGAGTTCCAGAAAATTCGCTTGGGCTGTGCTAGCAACGGCCACCTAAACAAGTTCAGAGGGACACTAGACTGAAAACCCTGGCCACTAGTTCAGTCAAACTTGCTCAGGTGGTATTAGTAATGCCCTCCTTAACAAGTTCAGGGGGTTGCCTGGTGGACAGGAAACAGAAATCCACAGGCAGATTTTTCTGAGAAATCCTGAGGGGCTAGAGAAGGGTCTTTGCTAGTGGAAAAGGGCATCAGGAAATTTCATTCCTCTTCCCATCAAAGTTAGAACTGCAGCACCACTGTTTCTGGGCTGCAGCTCAGCAGCTACATAATGCCCCAGCCTTTCAATAAACTCTCCAAACACTCTGGTCTCTGCAGGGGGCAGTCGTTCAGGCAACCAGGAAAGGGAGAGGGGTGATCTCTGTGCTCAGAATTGTGGAGAAAATATTTGTTCATTTTTGTGCCAGGTAGGATGGGGCCTAGGCTTGGAGGTGGGACCTCACTGGTGTGGGCCTGGAATTTAGCAGCTCTCTCTTGTGGGGGGAGGTGAGAGGTCCTTTTGTTCCCTGCTTGCTCGGAAAAGCCCACTGCCTCCTCCTTGGGGGAGGAGTCTCCCATCCTCTTTGCAATGGCCCCTTCCAACTAGTTGTTCCATACCTGATCCTACTTGTCTTCCTCTTTCTTGGCCCCACCCCTTGCCTTAGCAGGAATGATGTGTGCCTTGCTTTCTTCTTTCTGTGTTCAGCTCCCCTCCTTCGGCTTCTCTGAGTCCACTTCAGTCTAACATCTCTCCCTCTGGACAGGATCTTTTGGCAAAAACTGCTTCTAGTTGGTCATCTTGATTCCTCCCCTCTTCTGAAGAATTTCTAACATTGAAAGGCTGATTGACTGGCAATAGATTTGTATATTTTTTGTTTGTCTATATCTTTATTTCTTCTTTATGTTTGAAGGATATTTTCATAGGAAACAGAATTTAGACTGATCTTTGTTCTTCTTGGAACATTTAGAAGATTTCACTCCACATTCTTTTTGCTTGAGTGGTTTCTGAGAAAAAGATGTGATTCTTATCTTCATTCTTTTGTAGTGAAGGATTTTTACCCCTCTGCATTTTATGAATATGTAATAAAAAGATCTTTGATTTTTGCAGTTTGATATGCCTTAGGTGGTGTTTTTGAGCATTTATCTTGCTTGGTGTCCTTTGAACTTCCTGGTCTATAATTTGGGGAAATTTTTCAGGTATTATAGCTTCATGTGTTCTATTTCTCTCTCTTCTCTCTGTAGTATTCCCATTTTGCCTATAGCACACCTTTTGTAATTGTCCTAATGTTCTTCAATATTACAATTTTTGTCTTGCTTGTTTTGAAAATTTCTATTAATACACATTCAGATTCAAGGATTTTTTTCTTTTCTCAGGTCTAGCCTACTAGTACAGTGTTTTGATCTCCAGTATTACTTCTTTTCTTTCCTTTCCTTTCCTCCCCTCCTTTCCCCTCCCCCCCTTCTCCCCCTTCTGCTTTTTTCTCTTCTTTTGACAGAGTCTTACTTTGTTGCCCTGGTAGAGTGCTATGGCACCATAGCTCACAGCAATCTTAAACTCTTGGGCTCAAGTGATTCTCTTGCCTTAGCCTCCCAAGTAGCTGGAACTATAGGCACCCACCACAATGCCTGGCTGTTTTTAGAGACGGGGTCTCAATCTGGCTCAGGCTGGTTTTGAACCTGTGAGCTCAGGCAATCCACCCACCTTGGTCTCCCAGAGTTCTAGGATTACAGGTGTGAGCTACTGTATTTCTTTTGGATTGTGTTCACTGATTCTATTACTGTTCCTCCTTGGAGTTATCCACTATCCAAATAGGTTTGGATATTTCTGGTCTTAAGTTTTTTTTTTTTTTTTTTGCAGTTTTTTGCCAGGGCTGAGTTTGAATCTGTCACCTCCGGTATATGGGGCCAGTACCCTACTCCTTTGAGCATAGGCAAATTTAACCAAACTCAGAATTAGTTACTGGTAGCACTTCTAAGATACTGACTAAAATATAGATTAATATTCATGTACCTTAGAATAGGAAATAA